CTTCAAAGCCAGCAGCAGTAAGCCAAATCACATTCACCCCTCTTGATCTCCCCTTCTGCCAACTGCTTCCATTTGTAAGGACCCTTGATGTCATAGTGGATTCTGCCCAGATGAGCCAGGATAATCTCATAAAGTCAGTTAATTAACAACCTTCATTTTATCTACAGTCTTAATCCCCCTTTGCCACGGGGCAGGGGATGTGTTCACAGGTTCTGGGCACTCGAGTGTGGACATCACCTGGGAAGGTCCATTATTCTGTGAACCACAGGGATCCCTGTGAGAAATAATGAATAAAAGGTGTACGGACTGGGAAGGAAGAAATAAGACTTACTTTACTCACAAAGTCTACATGGAAAAACCCAAGGGATGTTCAGAAAGCGACTAGAATGAACAAGTGAGTTCAGGAAGGTTGTAGGATACAATCCCAATTTACAAAAATCCCTTGCTTGCTGGGGGTGCCTCAGTGGTAGAGTGTTTCCCTAGTGTGCTTGATCCCTGTTCAGATTCCAGCACTGCAAAAGAAAGATTGAAAACACCCTTTTTGCATTGCTATATATTAGAAGTACAGTAAAAGTTGGGTATTTTCCTTTTATTAAAAATACAGGGAGGGCTGAGTTCTAGAGTGCTTGCCTAGCATTAGTGAGGCACAGGATTCTATCCTCAGTGTCCCATTAAAAATAAAGGTATTTGTCAATCTACAAGTTAAAAAAATATATAAAAATCCAGTGAAAGATGGCAAAGTTAGTTCTTAAAGTTCCATTTATGATGATATAAAAATATTGAGAAATTAATTAAACAAAAGATACACAAACTGTAAAACAACCCTGGGAAAAAATTAAAGAAGACCCAAATAAATGGACATACCATATTCATGAATGATATTTCTATGCTCTACAGTTTCCTAGAATTTATAATTGATTTAGAGATTTGACACCATCTCAATTTCTCAGGAGGTTTTTTTTTTTGTCTTCTAGAAATTAAAAGCTAATTATGAAATTTGCATGGAATGCAAATGACCTAGAACACTTTCGTCTGTGGTTGACATACTTTTGGTGAAGGAAAATGAGGTTTGAGGACTCGCAGTATTGATTTCAAGATCTGCTATAAATTGACATCATCAAGACGCCGTGGTATCAAAGCCTGGGGAAATAGGCCTAGAGGCCAATGGAACACATGAGAAGTTCATAAATAGACTCACTCACATAGCGTCATTTTTTTTTTTTTTGACAAAAATCCCAAAGAAATTTTGCTGAAGTCATTGGACATTTCATGCAAAGATATAACAAAACAAACTCAATTCTTACTTCACACCGTAGAAGGAGCCCAATTTGAAAGGGGTCATAACTCTAAATGTAAAAGCTAAAATGTTGACGCTTCTAGAAGAAAACACAGGTGAAAATCTTGGTCAAATGTTTAAGCAAAGTGCTTTTTTCTGTACTGGGCCTCGAGCCCAGAGGCACTTAACCACTGATCCATATCCCCAGCCCTTTTTTATTTTGTATTTTGAGACTGCATCTTGCTTAGGGCCTCACTAGGTTGCCCAGGGTGGCTTTGAACTTGCGATCCTCCTGCCTCAGCTTCAGGAGTAGCTGGAGTTACAGTTCTGCCCCACCACTCCCAGGTAACAGGAAAACCCAGACATGCGTATTTATAGCAGTCTTATTCATAGTAATTAAAAGCTAAAAGCAACCGCTATACCCATTAATGGCCAGCGAGTGAACAAACCACTGCATGCCCACACTGTGGAATGCTATTCAACAATGAAAAAGAACGAATTACTGAATCATCTAACAACATAGATAGAACCCAAAAGCATTCTGCTCCTTGGCTGGGAAAGCCAGGCAACATTTCACACACAGTGTGATGCCATTGTCATGTGATTCTAGAAGAGGAAAAGTTAGTGACAAGAGCCATCCGTGGTTTGGGGGTGGGGAGTGGGTTGTAGTCAGGAAAGGGCACCGATACAAAATATTAGGAGTGAACGATAGGGACAGTGGATGTGGCTGTATCACAGGTGTGGTGACTGTTACAAGACTATGAGAACTTGTTAGCACTCTCGGAATTATATGCTCAAACGTTATTGAATATTATTTTGTATAAATTATACCTGAATAAAGCTTTCTCCCAAAATCAACTGGAGAAAAGAAATATTATTAAGGCAAATTCCCAATTTAGGGCAACTAATTAGGCAGTTGAAAGTAAGATAAAGGTTGGAGGATCACATTAAATCATAAAGGTTTGTACTACAAACAATAAACGCCATAAAGCGGAAATTCAAGGGTTTAAGAGGCAAAATGAAAAACTGGGGGCACAGCACCACCTAGTGGTGGAGTCATGCATTTACAGCATCATTCCGGCTCATGGCTGCCAAACAGGGGTTGTTAGAACTCCACAATCTACTATTTAAAGACAATAGTGCCTTTAAATGGGAAAAGGTCCACTTAATGCACCAAATTAACTTTGTGACAAACACTTAATACTTACTAATAATAAAAAATTTGAGGTAATAAAGGGAGAGCATTACCTATCTTTGAGTAACAAAGTCTACTTTAAAGTCATATTCATCTTAATTAGAAACAAATACCCCCCACCCCCGCTGTTATCAATAGTGCTATTGAACATTTTCTAGAAGTTTCATCCAAAGAAAAAGATTAAAAGTAAATAAAATAGAGATGAGATGTATAATTACATAAAAGGAGTAAATTAAGTCATCCCCAATGCAGGACAGTGGAATGAAAAAACAAAACACAAGAGAATCTTCTTATAATGCATAAAGTAATCAGATATAAGAATGAAGGATAAAAACTCCAAATTAACATTCACGTAAAACTCTTGTAATGAAATCAGTGCATTTCACTGTATATAAATTACACCTCAATAAAGTTTACCTTAAAAGGTGAAATAAATCACAGAAGTTTCAAATGGAGAAAATTTCTTCAATACTAACAACAAAAATGTATCAAATGCCTATCTGTGATCCTAAAGGCCAAGAAAACACCAAGTATACCGAGTGGGAAACCAAAAAAGTCTATGCAGTGAGACATACATTATTTCTTAATGGAAAAACGGGAGGAAGTGCAGGGGTCTCCTCTTCGATGTATCTTACATGTTTTATGGAACTCAAGTCAAAATCCTTACAGAATTGCTCTTAGGGCTTGCTAGTGTAATTGAAGTTAATCTGAATACTGGTGTATGTGTGGGCACCCATAATAGCACTCATGGTGTGGAAATGTCTTGTCTTTTGCACTCTGTATTCTGGGGCATCCTGTTGGATGCATATTTTGCAAATTGCCTGCTTGGGGACAGAATCACCCTTTGGAAATGTGTTCCTGTGACAGTAGGTGCTACTCCATCCGTTGCAGGCACCTACCTGGTTTACTTGTTCTCCTGTGCCTTGAGATGTTTTCTGTTTTATGACTCCATAAAACACTCCTCTCGTGTGTCCTAGCGCATAGGTGCACAGAGCTGACAGCAGGTTTGCTAGGTCAGGGGCACGTGCACACTCTGCCTCACACACCAGGAGCAGCTGGGCAGCGATGCCCCATCCACTCAACCAATAGCCATGAAATCACCTCCTGTTGAAAGCTGATTAATGGGGGCTGGGGATGTGGCTCAAGCGGTAGCGCGCTCACCTGGCATGTGTGTGGCCCGGGTTGGATCCTCAGCACCACATACAAACAAAGATGTTGTTTCCACCGATAACTAAAAATAAATATTAAAAATTCTCTCCCTCTCTCTTAAAAAAAAAGAAAGAAAGCTGATTAATGCTACAGACTGAATTGTGACCTACTGCCACCAAATCAATATGTTGAAGCTCTACCCTCCAATGGGATGGTCTTTACAGGTAAGGCCTTTGAGATGTTATAGGGTTAGATGAGGTCACAATGGTGGGGCCCCAATAATGGTATTAGTGGCCTTATAAGGAGATGAAGATGTAAAAATACCAGGACAGTCCCCCTCCCCTCCCCCCCACACACACATGGTGAGACAATGGCCATCTGAAATCCAGGAAGAGAGCCCTGGCCAGGAACCAACCTGCTGGCATCTTGATCTCTGACTTCTCGCCTCCAGAACTGAGAATATTAATTTCAGTTATTTGAGCCACCCAGACTGTAATATTTTGGTTTTCATTGAGGGGGCTACCAGGGATTGAACTCAGAGGCACTCGACCACTGAGCCACACCTGCACCCCAATTTTGTATTTGATTTAGAGACAGGGTCTCACTAAGTCTCTTAGCGCCTCTGTTTTACTGAGGCTGGCTTTGAACTCATGATCCTCCTGCCTCAGCCTCCCAAGCTTCTGGGATTACAGACGTGCACCGCCACATCTGGATGATATTTTGTTATGGCAGCGTGAGCAGACTAACACAACACACCTCAACTAGGAAACTATATATTTTATTGGTAATGGCAAAAAAAATTGTTGCCTTAGTTCATAAATTTTTCCCCAAATAGTTTTTTTTATTTCAATTGACATTTATTTCACAGAAAGTTGAGTTCATCAATCTGAATTGGAGTGACATTGCTGCATTAATATTATTTTTTAAATCATGTTAATATTCCAGCCTTGATACATTCAACTTTTTATAGTTTTACAGTAAGAAATGTTGCAGAACTAATGGTACTTTCTACTTTTGTCTGTTGGTATTACAAATATCCTCTACTTGTGCATTAAAAAAAATAATAATTACAAAACATTGTAAAATTCTAATTTAAATCTCTTATATTATTTGGATAATCTTTATTATGACTTTACTGTGGGTGTTATCATTGGCTATATAAGATTATAAGTTTTATATTTAAAAGTAATTAATATAGTATCATCTAGTTTTGACAAAAGTCACCACAACTTCATAGAGAATGTTTTCCCTTCTTTGAGGGAAAAACAAAAACCAAAAACTAATTCCTTCTTCTAGTTAAGCTATCTTCCAGAGTGTCAATAACTTTCTGAGATTTACTATAGTTACTTTCTTATAGATTGTAGAAATAAAGACATACACTTTCATCTTTAAAAAAAAAATCCTTTTTAATAAGTTTTTCCCCAAGAGTAAATGTCAAATTTTTTATCATATGTAACTGATTCATAATTCTGTCTTATGTTTTCCCATCGATGATTACAATTTTTTATATTTGAACTATGAATTTACCAGGATATAGTTGCCCATTCTGATAAAAATGTTCAGTACTTTCACCTTTTAATGACTTTGAAGTAAGATTTGCATTCAACATTTACATAATTAACAACAAAAATACACTAATTTTTTTCTGAAGACAGAAAGTTATTTCATTCTAGAAATAGACATTATCTGCTTCATTGTAAGTTATTGCAGTTTTTCAGATTTTTTTTTTTGGTACATTTTACAAATTCATTCCAAAACCCTTCACCAGAAATATAAACCTTTCGTTAATACTTTCAAAAAGCACCAAATATTCTTCCAGTTTCATTTTTCCCCCTTGAAACATAGCCTTCTGGAACCCTTTGCCAGTTATTCCCTTTTCTGTTCCCAAGGCTGCTGTCCCCTGTACTCTCAAGACACCATGTCTTTAGGGACATCCTTTTGACCTTGATCTAGCATCCTCTTGATATATTCCTTTGTTTTGCTGGAGTACATTCCACAGTAGCTTTCTGAGAAAAGGTATTTGCTGAGTGAGCCCCTCAGGAACTTGCATGACTAAAAGCACAATCTGTTCACCCTTCCCTTGAGAGCTCAGCCTCCTGGGACTAGCCAGGGTCTAAGTGAGACATGGATTCCCAGTCTTGGGACCCAAATCACCTCTTATTTCTTGTGGAAGGTCTAAGGTTCGTGGCTCTTAGCTTGAGATCCTTTTTCCTCACTGTGAGATGTTGGGCTCTTCCTCCATCTGTGCATTTTGACATTTTAGGATCTGTGCTTTGGTGAGGGTCTTTTTTCACTCTGCAGGGAACTCAGCAAGTTCCCTCCGACTGGAAACTCAGGTTTGGCAATGTGCTTCCTGGTTTCCCTGATCCCCACGGGATGGGTTCCTCTGTTCAGGTGCCGACCCTCGGGGTAATCCTCTCCTGCTCTTTGCTTTTCTATCCCACTTCCCTTCATTTTCCATTTGTTATCTGGGAGATGGCCTCTATTCTTCTTCCATCATCTCCACTAAGATTTTTATTTCTGTGTTCATATTTTTTAGGATTTAAGACCCGTTTTCATTGCAAGAATATCTCTCTTTTTTAAAATTTCTTAGGGGTAATATTTCCCTTTATTTTTTGAGGATAAAAGCAGGTTTGGGGAACTTTAATTTTCATCTTTAGATACTTTTCCTCTTTTCTCCCTTTCACTCCCCCCTCTGTTTTGCACTTGAACTTGATCTCTGTTCCTCCTGTCAGGAGCGCTCTTTCTTCAAGTCTCTGATGGTTGGTTGCATGTTCTTAAAGGAATGTACTGAAGAGCTGACAGGAGCACCGGGGGTGGGCGGGGGACAGGCAGGTGGCTGGGGCTTCCACAAGGTGGCTGCGAGTCACCTGGGCCATTTCACCCAGGACTTTCTTGGGCTGGAGTTTCTCTGGGGGTCACAGGGTCCCTGACCTGGAGGTGTGGGCATGGATGCCAATGTTCCTGGGGAAGGGGGGCAGCGCAGGTCAGCTCCTAGGTGGACCCCTACCCCAGGACCCTGCTGTTCCATGACTCAGCTGCCCTCAGCAGGGAGTGGACAGGCAGGCTTGTGCAGGTCAAGGGCAGACAGTGGGCTGCAAGGCCCTGGGACTGGGTTTGCAGGCTTCCCATAGGAGCTCCCTAACAGTCCCGTGGGCAGCAGCAACTACATCCCTGGCTTCCAGGATCCCAGGTGCTGGCGGTCCTGGGCTTTCCTGGCATCTTGCCCTCTGCACCAGCCTATCCCAGAGCTTGCCCAGTGCAGGACAAAGGTCCTGCTCTCTCTGTGACACTGAATCCTTTATTCCTTGTCGGTCTCATCTCCAGCACCCAAGATGCAGTGACCTCTGCCTTTCTCTCTGCCCTTGTGGATCTGTGCCTTCCTTTCAGGCCTTCTCCATCTTCAGTAACTTTGGGAAGAAAATCAAAGTCAAAGTTAGTCCAGTCCTTTGTTTTCATAATTTGGATAGCTCGTGATACCTTGCATTGAGACCATTTGTCTTTCCTAAAATGAACAGATATATATTATTAATTTCAAAGAAAAGTGGGGGGCTTACTTGTGTTCTTAGTCGAATATTGGAGGCAATTATTACTTGAAAATTGGGCCATCCTGGGTCCAGTGACACATGCCTGTACTCCCAGCAGTTGAGGAGGCTGAGGCAGGAGGATCACAAGTTTGAGGCCAGCCTCGGCAATTTAGCAAAGCCCTAAGCAACTTAGAGAGATCCTATCTCAAAATACAGATAAAAAGATAGGGGTGTGTAGCTGAGTGGTAAAGCAACCCTGAGTTCAGTCCCCAGCACAAAATAAATTAAAAGTTGGATCATTAAGGATCGAAAGTGGTAAACACTTATTCTGTCAGAATAGGCAGTGGCAAGGTTGATGGTCCAAATATAGAAAACCTGTAATCATCAATGAGAAGATCTGTAGCAACGTGAATCAGCAACATATGAGAAATCATTTGGAAATAAACTTATCAAATAATAGTATCAAATCAACATTTGGAAGGTATCATCACAATTTAAAAGTTTGTGGTATAGTTAAAAAATAACTTGGCCATTTTGGGCATAACACATTTATTCAAATTTTTAAAACAATGATTTTGAATTGTGGACAGTATCACTGCAGTCTCAATTTTTGCAAAGTTTGTTACAAAATACATATTTGACTGAAAAAAGGAAACAATGGGGAAGCTATTACATTAAGACAGTAAATTTTCAATCCTAACTTGGGAAGTTTCCAATCTTTGGCTAAAAAAAATTTCATAATTTACTTAAATTGTAAAATCTAATATTTTAAAGATAACTTCCTGGGTTTGTGATGTTAAAACTATGCATATCTCAAATAAATTTTTAAAAATACTATATATCTCACTTTACTGTCAGTGCTCAAAAAACATTGTTCCAGTGAGAAATCGTTAAACACACACCTGCTGTAGTTTGGCCCTCTAGAGTCCCCCAAGGCCCTGGTTGAAGGCTTTGGGGCCAGCTTGTGATGCTACCGGAGATGGTGGAACCTTTAGGGGGCGGGGCCTAGTGGGAGGAGGTTAGGTCATAAAGAGGGTGCTCTTAAAGGAAACGTCAGGGCTCTGGCCCTTCCTCTCCTCTCACTTTCCCAGGTTCCATGAGGTAAGCCGTCTCTTCTGCCACGTGCCACTGCCATGATGCTCTGCTTGACCACAGGTCCAAAGCAACAGGGCCCAGCAGCTATGGGCTGAAACCTCTGACACCATGAGCCAAAATATACCTCCCTTCCTTATAAGTTGATTTATCTCAGGAATTTGTTACAGCAACAGAAACCTGATTCACACGATCTCTTATTTGGTGTTAATCTTGATGGCACAATGTAATATTTCAGTCCAGCTAGATGGCAGGGAAAAAATTAAGTTGGTTTAATTTATTACTAGCCACAAAGCTGGATTTATTTATCTCTGGAAAATGCAGTAAAAAGTATAAGTCAGCTAGCTCCCTTTATACCTCATCACAATAAGCTTTATTTTTTCAACCACCTCTCAAGTAAAGAGGATCAAATAATTCATGTAGAGAAATGGAATTGAAATAATGAAAACGGGAGAGCTATTTGACTCACAGGGTTATGCTGCAAGGCATTATGGGACCATGCAGATTCACCCTAGGAAAGATTGTGACGTGGGAGAAGATAAACATTGGCAAATGAGAACTATTTTAGAGACTTAGAGAAAGTCTCCATTGTTAGAGCTAGCAGATTAAGCAGAGGAACAGTAAACGCAATTAAACATATAAATCAGAATAAATATATGCATGGAAATGTAGCAGAATCTATCAAGTCCTGAAAGACGTGGGACTGCAAATGAAGCAAGCGAAATCAAACATCTCGCCCAGGAGAAAACCCGCTCGGTGGTCTGAATGTGCTCTGCAAAAACACACGTGTGGTGTGCTCAGGAGACTGGCCCACACACAGGGAACTCCACCTTCTTTCCAGCTGCTGACTCATGAAAGCTGACCGCATGGCCATCTGTGGATGGAAGGTGGGCAGGGTGAAGACCACCACGCAAGCCTTCGTTCATTCAGTAAGCCCTGTTCAGGGACCCTGGCCGCCTGGGCACCGTGTCGTAGGAGCCGCAGCTGGTGGATCCACCAGGTTGGTTCAGCACAGGTTGAGCCAGGCTCCTTCCAGGAGGAAAGCCGTGGGGGTCAGGCCTCGGTGAGTGGCCCTCAGCTAAGGGGGAGGTCCACCAGGTAAGATGGAGGTCAGGAGGTGTTCCGTGCAGCCTCCTACGTCCAGTCAAGACTCAGAAATGGGCCCCACTGAGGACCTGGACAGACCAAGGACTGTATCGGTGAGATCAAATCTTCAGCAGATGGCTCGAACCTTCTTAGAACGTTTGGCTCCGTGTCTGTCGACTGACTTCACCCTTTGACATACAGCTGTGTTCTGTTTTGTTTGGGTGCTGGGGGTGGAATCCAGGATCTCACACGCGCTCGGCAAGCGCTCCACCCCTGAGCTACCTCCCCGGCCCCAGTGCGATTTTTAACAGAGAGTTGAGTCTGTTGAGAAAAGAAAGTCAGTTTCTAATCCTGAGCGTGCAGGTGCTCCACCCACCCACTTGCGTCGCCGTGGGTCGGCAGGCCTGTGAACAGCCTCCTGCGCGGGGTCTGGCCAGCTAACGCGCTCTACAGCCCTGGTGAGCCGCCTGCCCTTCCCAGCGCTCCTTAGCCACTCCTCACGGTGCTGCCAATTCCCACTGGACCTCCGGGTGCCCGTCCCAGGGCCTCCTCCCTTCCCCTCCACCACAGCCTGAGCCAGCTTCCCCACTGGGAATACGGAGGTGGTACCAAGGCCCCTCCAAGCCTGCTCCCGTCCTCAGAGCACAGAGAGGCTGCCTTCTCGGAAGCCTTCGTTCCCCGCCTGAGAGTTGGGAATCCTTCCACGGGCTCTGTCTGCCTCACCTATCCGACCTGGTGGCTTTCCAAGCCCTGTACAGGCTTCTGACTCCTGCTCCCGCTGTCCTTCCTGAGTCACTCAGACGGGGGAGAGTCCCCTGGTGCTCTGTGCCCAACTGCTCACTGCAGTCTCCATTCTGTGGCCTGAGTCATCCTCAAAACCTGCACATCCGTCTGGACAAGGCGAGTGCCTGATTGTCCTCTGTCAATGAGGGGGGTCTGGAAGTGACACTCCCCAGCTGTCTGGTTCTGTCTGTGCTGCTGTAAGGGGGCACAGACCCGGGGTGACTTACAGTGGACAGACAGGTGTGCGGCTCACAGTTCTGGGGGCTGGAAGTCCACGATCAAGGAGCCACCGCCAGCCCGGGCCTTCCTCCTGCCTCCTGACCCAAGGCATCCCCCAGGGAGACACACAGAGGGGCGGGAGGAGGCCACACTCGCTCTCCCGCCTGGACCCCGTTCCCACCATAAGGACTTCCCTCCATCCCAGGGCGGAGCCCCCAGGCCTCACCACCTTCCTGCCCCCCACCGTCCCTTCCCTGCTTTCTCCAGGAGAAGGTGAGACCCTGGAGGTCTTGGTGATCAGACAACACGACACACAGATGAAGGGGTTCCAGAAGCTTCCCGCTGCCCTTCCCTGTCCTCTGCTGACCTCAGACGCTTGGGGGCAGACTCCCGTCAAGAGCCAGACAGAGGCCGCAGATTTGGGGTCCCCCCAGCTCCTCCTCCTTGACTCCACTCTGGAACTCTCTGCCATCCTTCCTGTTCTCATAGGCCCACCCACATCTAGCCATTGGCCTGCCATGTCCACCGCCCCACAACTGTCCTAGGGTTTTACCCCCTGGCTGACCTTGGCCTATACAGACCACTCTCCTGGTTTCATGGGAGCTTTGTAGAATATCTGACACCCCCTGAAGACACCCGTGCTCTTTGAGGGGTACAGGGGGAGCACTCAGCCACGGAGCCACATCCCCAATCCTATTTTGTATTTTATTTAGAGACAGGGTCTCACTGAATCGCTTAGCGCCTTGCTGAATTGTTGAGGCTGGCCTTGAACTTGCCATCCTCCTGCCTCAGCCTCCCAAGCCGCTGACATGACAGGCGTGCACCATCCGTTCTGGTTGATGCAGCGGCTTTTCTTGCTGTCCAGAATTCCCAACTCCATGTGGCTGGACATTAGTTCTCCTGCTTCAGAGTCGCAGGTTGCTCTGCTGGGCAGGAGCTGAAGATCCCAAGCAGGATGGACTTCTGAGCACCAGGCCACGGACCTGTTCACATTCAGGGTGTGGCCACGGATTTCCCTGAAGAGGAGTGGGAGTGCCTTCAGCCTGCTCAGAAAAACTTACACAGAGACGTGATGCTAGACAACTACAGGAACTTGGCCTTCCACGCCAGGACTCCTCATCATACCCAAGAATATTCACCAGAAAAGGGCATGAAACATGTATTTCACCAAGTGATAAGTGGGGAATGAAGAAGTTGTGGTCTTGACTATTTACAACAAAAGAAAATATGGAAAACTACAAGTGAGAGTGAACACCAGAAACCATATCAGAAATCAGTCCCTGTTCGCCACCAGAGAATTTATACTGAAGAGAAGCCCTACAAATGTAAACAATGGGGCAAAGAATTTAGTCTTATTTACCACAGAAGAACCCACACTGGAGAGATGCCCTACCAATGGGCAGAAGGTGATAAAGTTTTTAAAGGAAAATCAATCTTTATTAAGCAAAGCAGAATTTCCACTGGAGAGAAGCCCTACAAATGTGAATAATGTGGCAAAGCTTTTATTTTTATTTTATTTTTTTAAAGAGAGAATTATTTATTATTTTTTTTAGTTCTCGGCAGACACAACATCTTTGTTGGTATGTGGTGCTGAGGATCGAACCCGGGCCCCACGCATGCCAGGCGAGCGCGCTACCGCTTGAGCCACATCCCCAGCCCAGTGGTAAAGCTTTTAATCAAAAATAAAACTTTACTCACCACAGCAGAAGTCACCCTGGTGAGAAACCCTCAAAATGTGAGGAAAGTGATAATAATACTTTTAAAGAAAAATCAAAGCTTATTAGCAACCAGATTTCATACAGAAAAGAACCCCTACAAATGGAAGAAATGTAGCAAAGCTTTTAATAAGAAATCACCTTTTCACCCCTAGGCTATTCATTCTGGAAAGAAGACCTAGGAATGTAGAGAATGTAGAGACATTTTTAATTATATATCATACATTACCAGACATCCGAGAAAACACGCTGGAGAGAAGCTCTACAAACGAGACCTGGTACCGTTCCTTTAAGGATGGGTCGACATTTAATCCTCACCACAATCATCACGGCCCTGAGAAATTCTTGAAATGTGAAGGTTGCCAAGTTGCCGTTGTTTCCAAATTTTTTTCCCCCTTCTTCGGCCCTTGGGGTTCGTTCTTGTTTGGGGGGAGGCCAATTGGAAAAAAATGTTTCTTAAACACTACTGATTTCTAGAGAATTCATTGTGCCCAGAGACCCTAAAAAAATAATATTTCCAAAACTTATCCAAATTTTAAATTCATGGAACATCTGACAACTCATACCAATAGTGAACATTGAACAGATTTTGTCCAAAATGTATGCCTTATATAACAACAACACATTTACAATCAACACCTTGACAAATGCGAGTAAAGTCATTGCCTATACATTACACCTTGATGAACATGAGGATCAGTAAAAGACAGAACTCATTTACACATAGAAAATGACTAGTTGTCTTTAACTTTTGCTTAAATTCATTAAACATTATCCAGTTATTTGGTAGAAATATCAATCATAAATATCATATGTGGATGGTGCAGAAACATCATCTTTGAAAGCATATGATTTTTTTAAATCAAAGATTACTATTTTCACTTTCAAAAGTGAAATTATAAGAAATCTATTTTTTTTATATTTTACACTGAATTGTAATGTTTTAAACTTTTTTTTTTTGGTACTGCAGTTAAATTTAGGGATTTTTAAACACTGAGCCACATTCCTAAGCCCTCTTCCCCCTTTTTCAAATTTTGAGACTGGTCTTGCTACGTTGCTTGAAACCACATTAAGTTGCTGAGGCTGAATTTAAACTTCTGAAACTTCTCAACTTCCCAGTTTGCTTGGATTACAAGCATGGACCATCATGCCCAGTTTACAGTGCATTATTTTACCTGTATTTACCTTATGTATACAATATGTTCTTATAATTGAATATTTGCTTATACTTTACACTCATGTATTGAATCTTGTCACCAAATGTCAGACATCACAGTGCTCCACTTGACTAAATGTTCTACGTAACAGTGAAACATGCTATTGAGTAAGTAATACTCTAGCATCTCTGAATACTTTTACACATTTTAATCAAACTTAATGGGAAATATAATTTGCATAAATTAGATCATTATAATTTTTTGTTCTGTTTGTATTTATGGTGAAATTAAAAGAGTTAGAAGAAGGACATAGAGATAGAAAAATAGCCCCAGATTTTCATATCTTGAATTATAAATTTTTTTAAAGAGAGAATTTTTTAATATTTATTTTTTGGTTTTCAGTGGACACAACATCTTTATTTTATTTTATGTGGTGCTGAGGATCGAATCCAGCTTAGATTATAGGATAGGTTATGTATGGCATTGCCTCCCAGAACTTCTGTACAACTCAGTTCTTTTAATACATGTAGGTCATACAGCTACACTGGCACATGCCACCAACCAAAACCAATATTTATTCAAAGGAGCCACTAGATCATCTCTAATCCATGTCACCTCACTCAGGAAACTATTTTTTAATTTACATATGACAACTTTAACTCTGAACGTTAAGGTTAAGAGAAAACTTTTAATAATAAAGTGTTAAGAAAAATATTAAAGATGTTTACAATAAAAAAAAAAAAAAAGAATTCTCAACTCCACTCCCATGTACTTCACTATTCCCTGCCTTATTCCATTTTATGTTGCTATAACAAAATACCTGAGACTGGGTAAAATATAAAATAGAGATTTACTTATATAGAAGTCTGGCCAACCACCAGAACAGGAAGTCCAATAAGTGTCTGTTTTATACATTATACCAGTACAGCCCTAGAGACGGGCAGAGAAGTGAAAGGGAGCTGACTCCCCCAACACTTCACCCACTCCCACGTGACCACATTCACCCACTCATGAGGCTGGAGCCCCCTGCCCCTGCCCCAGCCCCACTGCTAAAGTTTCCCCCACCTCCAACACAGGAACCTGACTCAGACAGCCCTGGCCTGCTCTAGTCAGCTTCCCATTGCCTTCACCAAAGCACCCAGCAAGAGCCACTTAAAGGAGGGAAAGCTAATGTGGGTTCATGGTTTGCGAGGTTCACTCCATGGTTGGCCAACTCCATTGCTCTTGGCCCAGACGGAGGAAACCCGCTCAGTTTCTGGTGGTCAGGAAGAAGAGAGAGAGAAAGGAGGCTTGG